TTTGATTTTGTTCTTGGTTTGTTGTTCTATAATGAAAGACTAGTATGTGGCTGAATATAATAATAAAACTTGAAGTTGTTCCCCAAAATCAATTGTTAATAGGTAGGTGTGTTTTGAACTCAAGAGACTTTTAGTAAAATCCCAAACTCTGTTTCAAATCTCTATTAAATACTTTTATAACCTTTTAAAAACTGTACATATACTGTATTCAAATATTATAGATGGAAATAATAAAATACTAAAAGCTGATTGAAGCACCATTGGCAAAATATATGCCAGAGGTAAAGATTTCAGAAATGGTTATATTTAATATAATTATTAATTAGCTACACCATTTCTAAAACAATATTCTAATGACATTCCTGAGTTTGGTTGCACTGAGAAATGTAGACACTGATGAATACTAAAATTACCTAAGAAGTGCAACAAATGTAACCCTAAACTCATATGCTGTTTTTCAAAATTTCAGCTATCTTTAACCATCATTTCATTCTCCCTGTATTTAACAATGTTTTGAAATGCAATGTTTAAGGAAGTAACTTGACTAGATCAATGCACTTCTTACTGTATACTTATGCTTACCTTATACCTTAAGTTCAAACCACAAGATAAAGGTTTGGTTTGTGCTCAAGTTTTATCTGGAAAACTTCTTCAGGTTTTATATTTATGTAAATTGTCAAGGGATATGGATATGTTTTCTTGTATCCCTCTAGATTCCTACATCCATCTCTGGATCATTCCTCCAAGTCTCTATTTCCCTTCTCTGCCTTTTTTCTTTTCAAGATAGATCTATTGTGTATGATTTCTGCAGAAACATGGGGTACTCCCATTTCTGATCTCACCCATTCTTAGAGTAAAAGAAAGAATATCATTCACCTTAGTCTCAACATCCAGAGGAGCCCAGAAGTAAGCGTTTTGAGAGAAGCAATACCTTGTCCCACTTGGATAAACTGCAAGCATTTGTGTAGCTTCCATGTCATCACATTTCCTTGCCACTCCCTCTATGCAAAGCCAGCTCATAAGATATATAATACAGTTTCTAAATGTTCTCCTTCACAGAGGATAAACACTTGCCCTAAACTCACCCTTTTTTTATTAGGTCCCCTAAAGTTTGGCTAGCCCTAGCCAATTTTCCCTCTTGGAGGCTTGGCTGAGAAAATATACCTCCATTTTTCTTTCAATAGCCTTAGTCCAGTATTGCTCTTTGGGAATCTAGGGTGACATACACTCAATATAAGCCCCTGTGTCTTTCAGTGATCAGCCATCTCAAGCAATTTCTGTACGTGGATTGGTCTTGTTGACACTAAATTGAATTTTCAAAAAACACCTGAAGAGCTGATATTTCACATCACACATTATGAAGTCTTTGCACTTTAAACATTATCTCTATAGGCACTAAAGCAGATATTTTGTTTGGAAAATGTCCCTGGCCTGTATTCTTGGCCCTCAAAAGATCACTAACCTTTCTGAAAACATTCAGAAAAGAACAAGCATAGAATCTGTCAAGAATATCTACACAGTACTCTGTGGTGGTCTGAGATGCAGTGTGGAAAAAGTGGCAGTAGGGCCGGGGATTTAGCTCAGTGGTTCTGCTGCCTTCCTCACAAGTGCAAGGCCCCAAGTCTGATCCATGATACAAAAAAAAAAAAAAAAAAAGTGGCAGAGAGGCATACTTTCCTTGGCCTAATAGATTTAGAAAATTCATCATATTATTATCCATTTTGGGGTTTTCTAATGCATATTGATATAATGAGAGTTCTGGGAATGTTGTGAAAACAAAAACAGATACTAAAACTCATTCGAATTTGCTTAAACCAGCTTACTCTAAAATGAGTTCAGTGTGTGTGTGTGTGTGTGTGTGTGTGTGTGTGTTTGCAGCACTGATTGAGAAGTATATTTGATTTACTATTTGACTTGCTGTAACAATATCTCACAAAGTATCCATTAGTGGATACTTTCTCCACTGCCTTTCAATTTCTGATATTTAGCTTTAAAATCTAAAGTTTTGGATGACATGAGGTTTTGGATCCCATATTTGTTGCTATTAATCAGGCTTAAGAATAAGAGATTTGGTATTTAGCAAATTGGAAATCTTTGGGTTTCTTTTTCTTCCTGTTATCCACACAGGATAGCACAGTATTGGAATAAGTATTTTCTTGGAAATTTAAAAGAATGACACATGCAAACAGCTCAGATCACAAGGTAATGAAAAATAAAGAAGGCATGGGGTGCTCAATTCTTGATTTACCTCATTCCATTACATGCTTCTCTTTGTAAATTAACCGATATGTTCTTGGGTTGGTTTGTCTTGTAAAAGAATGTATAATAAATTAAATTGTAACAATTTAGAACTCTTGTTAAGTGGTTCTTGTATTTGTCAAATATTAATCAAAAATCTGCTCTTTGGAAAACTCTTTGTTAGTATTGGGACTGGGAAGAAAAAGGAAGTCTCATTACTGTCTATAGAAATTTCATAATTAATAATAGTATATCTTTTTAAAATGGTAAAATTTTCTCTCAGATCTGTAGGACAAGGAAGAAAAGGAAGGATAAAGAAGAGAAGTTCCACAGGACAAGGTTGAGTATAAATGCTCTGAGAAAAGGGTGATACTCTGTGAAACTCCAAATTGTTCATTGAGAGATAATTTAAAGGAGGCAGGGTGATCTAAGTGATGATGTAGGAGGGGTGAGCAGGGACCAGGCACTTAGATGGTGTCTTTACATGTGAAAGATTAAACCCGAGCAGAAAATTGCTCCTACCTGTGGTAAGTGGGTAAAAGAAAATCTCTACTTCAGGCTTTGCTCTTAGGAAGCAGCTCTGATTCTGTAGGCGACAGAGACCTGTGTGTGTGTGTGTGTGTGTGTGTGTGTGTGTGTGTGTGTGTGTGTTACTGGGTATTGAATGCAGGGCCTTTGCACTGAGCTTTTTTATCCCCACCCCCTTTTTATCTTTTCCCACATTTTTTATTATACAGGATAATTAGTTTCAATTTGGAATATTTGTACAGACAAATCCTTTAATTATCCCCCCATCACCTACTTGACCCAACCTTCCCCATGTTGTTGATTTGGGGTGGTTTCAATATGCATAATGTATTTTGATGGTATTCACACACCCCCATTATATGACCTTATACCTACTCCACATCCTCCTTAGGACTATCCTTGGGTCTAATAATAGTCTCCCTTCTATTTTCCTATCATGTCTTTTATATTCCTCATACTGGGCAATACATGTGATATTTGTCTTTCTGAGTCTGGCTTACTTCAGTCAACTTTATTTTGCTAAGGAGTCTTGCTAAATCACCAAGTAGCCGTGACAAGACTGAAACTTTCAATCCTCCTGCCTCAGCTTTCTAGAGTGCTGAGATCACAGGCATGTACCACCACACCCACCTCAGGCCCCTTAAAGTCATACTGATGGTGATGGGTGATTATGAGGGGACTTCAAACCAAAAATGGGTCTATGTCCTCCACTGGGACCGAGAGAGGCCCAGCCAGAGTAGACAAGTGAGGAGGAAACTGACTTTATCTCCAGGGACTAAAGGAGTTGAGGCCTATACCTCAGGGCCATATTTTCTGTTCTTAGTAGGAAGCATGTGGCAGAATTGCAAGCTGAGATGACTTCATTATTTCCAGAAGTGGTGTTAAGAAGAGGAGGGTCTTGGCCTAGTAGCATACACCTAATTAAACCAAGATATTCAAGGATTAAGAACAGGGAGGATATGATACAGAGTAATGATGAGGGAACCCCTTCCAGAAAGAAGAGGAGCACATAAGAGGCCCACCATTATTGAGTTCTGGACATGTTGGCTATGGGGGCAGCAATGATTCCTAGAATATTTTCAGCCCTATAAATCTCAGGTTATAAAGGTCAGGTTGATCTTCGCCCTCACTTTTTCTTTTTTTGTTGTCGTTTCGAGGATTGAACAAAGGGCCTTCACACTGTGGTATATGTCCAGTCTATTATAACTTGCTTTGAAACAGTGTCTCACTAAGTCATTAAATTGCTCAGGTTGAACTCTAATTTGCAATGCTCTTGCCTCACTCTCACTTCTGATTTTCAGTCTTAGGGGAGGTACGATCCTTAGGCTAAAGGTATAGGCCAGCCATTAGTAAAGAGAAAAGTGTGTAGTAGCAAGCCTTATGAGGAGCCAGAGTAAGGGACCTTCAGGAGGACTAGGGACCCCAATGAGCCCAAGACTGAAAGAACACCCAGCTTTAAGTGTTACTTTCTAAATAGCAATAGGGAATGGCCCTGACACTGCCAAAAGCTGCTGTGGTGATCTGGAAAACTGAGAGGGCCTAAGAAAGTAGAAGACAGAGGGCCTCACTGTCAGTGCCTGCTGTCACCCTAGTTAGACTGTCAAGCTGAGCATAAGAATCATCCTAATGGTAGACATCTTCTGTGGGATTATAGAGGACAGAATGGCTAAAAGAACATATATCCTGTGAATTCCTACAAATAGGCCCTCATGGAATCCGGGTAGGAAGTCCTTGGTTAAAATCAAGGTGCTCTGTCTGTGCTGAAGGTGCTCATAGTGTCTCATTTTCCCTGCTCCAGGTAACTCAATCTCTATTCATCGTATCCATAGTCCTACCTGCTCTCCATGACTATATCTGTCATGCCCCTGGGACAGAAGAGTAAGTTCTGTGCTCCTAAGAAAGGCCACCAGGCCCAAGGTGAGATCTAGGGACCCAAGGATGCTCGGGCCACTTCATTACAGGAAGGAGAACCCTTGTCCTGCTCCTCTTCTGTCTTTGCAGAAAATGCTCTGAGCTTCTCTGCTACAGGTCTTCCCTAGAAGTTACCAGGAATTCTACCCAGCACCATCCTTGCTAGGGCTGCTTCACACAAAAGGTCTGGTACAGGTAGCAAGAGTAAAGGGGAGGAATGGGTGACTTCCCCTGTAGGCTTGCCTTCCACTGAGAGCTTGCAATAAAAACTCCTCATGAGGAAGGCATAAATATTGATGTAGTAACTGATGTACAAGTATAAAATGAAAGAGCCCATTATACAGGAAGAGATGCTGATGACTGCCCACAAACTGTTCCAAGAGCACTTCCCTGAGATCCTCAAGATGGGCTCTGAGCATGTGGAGCTGGTCTTTGGCCTTAAGGTGAAGGAACTCACACCAGGTGGCAGTTCCTACACCCTTCTCAACCTATTAGACATCACCAGTGATAAGAGCCTGAGTAATAAACTCCTGACAACTGGGGTTTTAACTCTCCTGAGTATGACCTTTCTACAGGACTATTGTGCTTCTCAGGAGGATATCTAGGAATTCCTGACCACATTAGGGTTCTTTGATGGGAACAGCACTTCATCTTTGGGGATTTCAAAAAATTAATCACTGACAATCTGGTGCAGAAAGGGTATGTCAAATATTGCCAGATGCTTGGAGAGTTCCACCATGCTACGAATTCCTATGGGGTTCAAGAGCTCACCCTGAAACCCTCTAGATGAAAGTCCTGGAGTATATGGCCAGGGTTAGTTTTTCAGTCATCACTGGCTTTCCTTCCCATTACAAAGAGGGTTTGAGAGATGAGGAAGAGAGAACCCAAGCCAAAGTTACAGCTAGGCATGCCCCTACTACTCACGCCAGTCCAAGTTTCAGGGCCAACTGCACAGACACCACCCCCAGTGAGATATGAGTCTGATTATTCACTTTGGGATTGAAAAGTCCTGTTAATCTTTACTCTGGTTCTGTATAAGTGATTTTTTATGACAATTTATTTTCATGTATCTCTCAACTGGGCTTCCTTTTAACAGAATGTTTACTTAGATTCATAATATAATTTCATGAATGTAGTGGTATGCACATTCACTACTCTCTACCAGGTTTAGTGATTCATTATTTGTTTGTTGTCAAATACAAATTGGAATTCATCAATTCTTGAAATCATGAAATCATTTTATTGACCTACATCAAGATAACATGACATTGGAACAGGAATGTCCCTGGAAATAAGAAGATCCAGAGTAAAATTTCTGGGAGAAACTGATAGAGATAAGAAAATAAAAGTTGCTCAGATTTTGGTTTGCTTTGTTTCATTTAGTTTTTCCTTCCATACATTTTAATGATACTTACCTGGATTTGCTTATGTTATTCAAGAATGTGTGAAAAACAAAATCAAACTGAATTAGACTTTTTATTCATGGCTTATAGTTTAACCCAAATATTAAGTAAACGTCTTATCTTGGGAAATGTTTAAGCTTTGTATCTGGGCTTTTTACTTAAAGGAGACTCAGCTCTTTTCCATGCAATGGTGGATTCTGGGACAGGGTATCATTAGAGAACAGAATAACATTTTGCTTCTTAAAGCTGTGGAACAGAGAAAAATAGGACAGAAAACATGACTTAGTTTTCATTGTTAGGTAGCATTTTTCAAAAATGTTTTCTGCTTTTTCTTTTATTTCTTATTGTCCTCGAAAGCTACAAATTCTGTCATGTCTTCTGATTTAAAAATAAAATAATCTGAGTAAATGGATGGTAATGTTCTGCTCAAAATCATCATAGTAAATATTCCACTCCCTAATGTGTCCATACAAGACAGGTATTTGCACAAATTATTTCCTTAGATTAGATATTCTCCTGCAGTCCTGCAAGCTAGTGCTTATCAAACTCACTGCTCACTAGAGGGCAAGAGGTACATAGTGTTTGTGAATGTGCTCAAGTTCACAGGACAGGCAACTGGCAGGGGTATGAGTAGACCCACAGCATTTCACTCCTCCTGTGCTGACACTCATACTGCGTCTCTCATTTCAGCTTTCTTTCAGTGCCCCCAAATGTTTCTAAGTTGGTAAAATATGACCTCGTGTCCAATGTACTGAATTTTAGTAAATAACGTGAACAATAAGAATACCACAATAATTGAGAATTTAAATAATGAAGAGAAAGAGACAATATGGAATGACAGTATGATTAATTACTTTTTGCAGTGTTATCAAATGATTAAGTGCTTCCAATTTCACCTCATTGGGCTGTGTAGGGATTAACTCAGAACTAAAGCACTTACTTACGTTACATGAGGATCTTGGTTTGATCACTAGCACAGAAGGAAAGAAAGAAAGAAAGAAAGAAAGAAAGAAAGAAAGAAAGAAAGAAAGAAAGAAAGAAAGAAAGATTACTCTAGTATCCACCTTCTATCAGGACAGAAGTTTACATAAATTTACATCTGGCTGATAAAACAAGCAATATTTCACCTTGTATTTTTCTCTGGTCACTGACATATCCTGAGCCCTCTACTTTTGGCTATAGCCGCCCCATCTCACACCACTTCCAGGGAAGGAACCAATTTTCTGCAAAGTTTGCAGAGAGGCCAAAGGTCTACAGGTTGCATACACAGGCATTTCCATGAAAGATTTTATTGCCATTGACAGACCCAGGATAAGGGCTGTGAACCTCAGCACCACCGCAGGAGGACTGGGGGACTAAGTCCTGAGAATATGGGTGATGCCCCAGGAGGACGAAAATGTTCCCAAGTTCTTACAGAAAACAATGGGGCCAATCAGAATATCTATTACCTCCAGGGAACTGGTAAGGTCAGACTTGCCTTAGAAGTTGAATATACTGAGGGGGTCTTGTGTTCTTTATATCAGTTTTAAGGGAGGTAAAATTGTTGTTCTGAAAGTTCAGACACTAGAACCAAAGGAGGGATCCTATAACATCATCATTGTGCTAAGTACTTCGCACTTATTACACACCTCCCCCAGTCCTACAGAACTGGAAGCGCCACAGCCATCACATGCAGGTGGATCCCAAGGCTCATAGCATGGGGTAACTGCACAATTCACACAGCTGGTAGTGACAGGGCTGGATTTAGACCCCAGGTGTGAGTTAGTCTAAAACTCACAACATTTCGTCCTTCCCAATCTGAGGCTGACCTAGTGTCTCTTAATTCGCATTTTTCTCATTTTTGCAAATGTATCATGGGCAGTGAAAAAACAACTGTGGTTAATTTACTGAACTTTTAATTTAATGCACAGCCAGAACAATAATATCTCCAAATTAAATGTGACACTTGAATAATGAAAAGAGAAGTCATAGTTGGTGGCAATAGGATCACATATTCAATTTGATGTTAGCCTCAGAAGATCAGTGGCTCAAAAAGTCATCAAAGAGCCATTTACTCATCTATAAAACAATAAATATAGGAAGACAAAAGGTACATGAGATGCTACATCATGCTAGGAAAGACAAGAGAGCTCAATATTGTTTTCCTATTACAGCTCACTCTCTAATGTGGGCCCCCAGTCTTGTGCTATGTATTTCCCAGCTGCATATCACTTTTAGGTAGGAACACATTCTTTACAAGGTAAGCAAAGGGGAATTGCTCAAAAGTTTACATGGATGTGCCATTCCCCAGGAAGTCTTAAATATAAGGGGCAAGAACCTATAAAAGTAGCTCCTCCTAAATCTAGTGAGGTCTGAGGCATAATCTGCATTTTATTTCAAAGACATCTACACTCTAAGTATAAAGAGGTCCAAGTTGGAGCTGCAAGTAACCAACCAAATCCCTTTTTAAAATTCTTATTCTACTTGACCAAATGGAAGATTTACTTGCTTGTTTGTTTGCATTTTGGTATATTTAACATGTGCCCTATTTAATAATGTTGAGTACATGTGTGTATGAATACCAGATTGCACATTTAGTTCTATTTTCATAGGTTGTTGTAATTATTCTGTTATTTTGGTCAACATGTTGGTAATTGTTGGATATCCTTTTGTTATCTATAATACAACAAGCCATGAATAAGGAGTTTATTTTTATTAAATAAATTAATGGTATATCATGTTTTGGTATGCACACAAATTGTAAAAATATTACTAAAGGTAAGGCATTTAATATATCTACTATTTTACATGGCTACACATTTTTGCTGAAAGAACCCTGTTGTGACTTGTATCTGCATGTCCCCCCAAAGCCTTATGTGATCATAGGTGGAGCTTTCAAGAGGTGGCTGGATCTAAGGTTTGTGATGCTGGATTAGGGTGTGTGATACTGGGATTATGGGTGTGTGATAACTAAATTGGCTTAGCATAAATCTGGATGTCATAATGGAATTCCCACCCTGGGTGTGGGTGGCACCACCCAAAAGGCTTGTAGCCTGGATGGGATAAGAGGGAAAGGGAGGATTGCTGCTTCACTTTGAGGTTTTCTACTTGCTGCCTTCTGCTTGCCACACCATGGACTATTTCTCCTCTGCAATGCCCTTCTGCCATGCCACCTTGCCTTGGAGATGGCCCACTATGGACTGAAATCTGTACAAACTGTGAACCAAAATAAACTTCTCCTCTTTTAATTTGTGGGAGTCGGGGATTTGGTCTCAGCAATGAGCAAAGCAACTAAGACAAGTGCCTAACATATACGCTTAATAAATTTCCAGGATAAGAATCAATATCATTAACTACAGTCCTCATGCTATATATCAGAATTCTATATGTAGCCATTCTTCATGACTACAACTTTGCAGCCTTCCACCTGTATCTACACATCCCCCATGCCCTCTTCTTTTAATCATTCTTTCATTATCCCCTTCAATGCATTCAAAATTTTTCTCTTTATTTTATGTATGTAAAGGACCTCATGGAGTGTTTTTCTTTCCATGTCTTACTTCTTTCACTTAGCATAACTTTCTCCATGCTGTCACAAATGGCAGGATTTTCCTTTCTAATATTAACAAATATTCATTGTATGCATATATCATAAATTCTTTATTTACTCATCCCCTGATGGACACTGGTACTTTTATTGTCTTGGTATATACAAATATTGCTGAAATGAATATAGGAGCACAGATATTTCCATGGGGTGCTAATTTCATTACCTTCACATGTATACACAGAAGAGGAATTGCTGGACTAAATGGTAGTTTGTTCTATTGTTTTTGCTGAACCTCCAGACTATTCTATGATACTTGTACCAATTTACATTCCTATCAATAGTTTATAAAAGTTCCCTTTACTCTACATGTTCCTCACCATTCATTGTCTTTTCACTTTGTTTTTGTTGTGATCAAACAAATGTGAAGTGATACTTCTACATGGACTAGATTTCCATTTCTCTAATGGTTAGTGATGTTGATCATCTCTTCATACATTTCATGACCATTTTTATTTCTTTTGCAGAGAAAATTACTATGACTAGTGATTTTCTTGTAAATAGGAATAAACTCTGTACTAAAATTGTTGAAATCAGAACTTAAAAAATGATAAAAGTTGATTAATATACTTCATTCTACTCTTTCTTCTTGTACTTGGACTATTCAAGAAATTAGAAGAAATTAAGTTATAATTTATTATACCTCATAATATTTTGTTTATTTCCCAGTAATTACTTGGAAGTATTCATGTGTCTACTGAACAAATATTCTCCCCAAAACAAAAACATCCAGCTTATTTCCATTGAATTTTAGAATCAAAGATGTTGACTTATACTTAGCTATAAAGAACAAATAAAAAGAAGGGATGCAGAAGGGAGGAGGTTGGAGATGGTGCATGTAAATGTCCTGAGACCAAGTAGTATGGAATCATAGAAAACTGCAAGTCCCTCAGTGGAAGATAATTCCTAGGGTTGGTTTTAAGGTTAAGTCCCCAAATTTGTACTCATGATATCATTCCCCATTCACACCTTGGAATGACCTTGGAGGCCCAGGTAAAGCTTTTAATCTGAATTCTACCTGTAAAACTTGAGGCAAGACAGGGCTTTAGTGTAAAGATGTAGCTCAGATTCAGCAGGTAAAGGAGAACTGGGCCCTAACTGGAGTCAAACTGAAGGCACTGAGTGCTAATGAGAGGATCATACTTCAAAGTAGGTGACAAGACACAAAGCAGTGTTCTGCCACTCCTTTCTGTGAGGCTCAAGTCAAGTGTATTTATAAGGGGGAGCTGTCTTCCCTGTATGGGTCCCTGTTTTGAGGCTGGAGGACTCAGGTTAGTGTAGAGAGGTGTTAAAACCTTATAGGAAGTCAAAGTCAGAGACTTGAGTGAGGACAAAGGAAGTACTGACTCCCAAAATGGGGTTCCTATATATTATTCTCCTTGCCTCAGCCCTGATAATTGCTAAAACAAAACAAAACACTATCCATCTGTGTTGTCTTCTCTTCATATGGAAAGCCATAGGATGATTGACCTGACTGTGTGCCCCAAATCTGCAGAAAGAGGAGATTTAGACCCTTATGGGAGTCAAGATGGTGACCCTAAATGAGGTCTGATAAACCAACTCCTCCATCAAGGATGAGAGAAAGATCAGAGTACCCTTCACCACTTGTACCCCTGAGGAGCCCAGGAATGGTGGTAAGGGGTATGAGAACTCCTTAGATTTGATTGCATTAGTTTGCTGAGTAACCTTGTCTGAGGGGACAGATAGCAGATCAACATGGAAGGATGTCCTAAGTCCTACCTAAAGCCACAGCTAGGACCCTGAATGAGGACTGAGGACCTCAACATACCCAAGTCTCAGCAAGCCTTCACAGAGCTCTTAGAACTGAGTATGATTGGCAAGGGAGGTAGACTGAAGTGCCCTTTCACTTGATCTGAGGATATTCCAGGGAATGCAAGATTTTAGGTGGAGGTGGCAAACTCACTGTAGCACAAGGGAGGGAGGAGGCACAAACTCTGCTCTCAGTTGATTTTACAATGATGAATGTGATCTAGGAACACTCTCTACCCAAGAGTACAAGAAGATCCCCAGGAATTAGATCTGCCACCTGCATTCTCACCATCAGTGCACACAGAAGGACTGGCCAACTATAGCCTAAGACAAAATTTAATTATTTCTACTGGGTTCTCAGAGGACAGGCAGATCTGAAGAGGAGATCTGTGGGTTCCTACAGCAGTGGTCACAGGAACCCTGCAAAGAAGTCTTCTTAAACTTAAGGAGGTATCTTTATGCCAGAGCTCCTTATGCACTATCATTTTCTCTCCTTCAGGTGTCCAAAACACATGCTATTCTGCCCAGACACCTGCCTGTTGTCTCAGACCACAGTCATCATGCCACAGAGTAAAAAAAATAAGCCACTTACTCCTAAGAAAGCTTCCCATGTCCAAAGGGAGGCCCCGAGACTCCAGGAAGCTCAGGCTTCCAAGAAGAAAATACTGCCCTCATCTTCTCCTCCTTTGGGGATTATCAGCCACACGAAGTCCACTTATCAGTCACGATGTCCTCCCAAGAGATCTCAGAGAGCAGTTTCCACCACTATGTCCTCAGATATTTCAACCCCAAGATCAGATAAAGGAGCCACCTGCAAAAGTAAGAAAAAGCAACATTCCTCCCAGCCTCCAAAGTCCATCATACAAATTCCCAGAGATGTTCTAACCAAGATGGCTAGCAGATTGGTTAATTTCATCATACGCAAGTACAAAATGAAAAGGCTCATTAGCAAAGAAGGTATGTTGAAGATCATCTATAAAAAGTACAAGAATCACTTCCTGGAGATCCTCAGAAAAGCTTCTTTCAACATAGAGGTGGTATTTGGCATGGACTTAAAAGAAACCGATGCTATCAGTCACTCTTATACCCTTGTCGACAAAATGAATCTCCCCTACAATGGGAAGCTGAGTCGCGGCAGGGGATTTCCTAAGACTGGTCTCCTGATGAACCTTCTGGGAGTGATCTTCATGAAGGGCAACTCGGTCACTGAGGAGAAGATCTGGGAATTTCTGAATAAGATGAGAATATATGATGGACAGAGACACTTCCTTTTCGGGGAGCCCAGGAAGCTCATCACAGGTGATCTAGTGAAGCTGAGATATCTGGAGTACCGCCAGGTACCGGACAGTGATCCTCCTCTGTATGAGTTCCTGTGGGGCCCAAGAGCCTATGCTGAGACCAGCAAGATGAAAGTCCTGGAGTTTTGGGCCAAGATCAATGATACTACACCTACTGCCTTCCAGGGCAGGTATGAAGAGGCTTTGAGAGATGAAGAAGAGAGAGCTAAAAAGACATAATTTCACTCAATGATAGCACTAATGCCACAAATAGGGAAAGTTCTATTCCCGTGACAACAGCTCCCCTCATAGCTAGTGAACTTGGGGAAGGCTCTTCTCTATGTAGTTAAAAAGAGAAGTTAGTGTTCCCAGTAGTGGGAGGTGGCAGGGACTGGCGAGAACACAGTGTTTCATATCTTTGCACTTCTACTTTATAGAGGCAGTTTGAATATTTTCCGTATAATTTGTTATATTTCAAAGGTTCCTATTATTTAGCATTATAATCTAAGCTTATGAACACTCCTTGCCACACTGCCTTAACAGGTTAAGAGGAAGCAGGGTTTTTTGTTTCTTTGTTTTGTAAAAGAAATGTTGAAAATTCCATCTTCTTTACTGATCTGGTACATAACTATGTGAAATTGGAATAAGCATTTTTTAAATGTGAAAACAATAATAAAACGCATAGAATAAAGAAATAGAAAATGTTTGAGCTGGTCAGCATTTGACTTCCTATTCTATTTCTCTGTATTTTATAGAATTAAAAACTGCATTACTGTGGCTTATTCTGGAATTAAGATTTTATCATAATTTATTAGACACTTGTACTCATCAACTTATTTATTTCCTAAATACCAGTTGTGCGTCTGCTCCTAGCAAGCTCCTTGCCGGTACTGGCAGGGAGAATAAAAGGTTAGTAACTGACCATAGAATCATAGTGTTCAGAAACAGCTGTCGTATAAGGAAAATGGTGATACGCAGTGCAAGGCTGAAATGCAAATGAAAAGAGATTAGAAAGGGGGAGAGGTGGTTTGAGATGAGAGCAGTCAAATGTAAATTAGCTGGTCAATTGGTAAGGAGTCAGGAAACTGCAAGTCCCTCAGGGGAGGTAAGCTAAGTGAGGCTGCATGGTTGGCTGGTTGAGTCTGTAAAGGTGGGAACAGGGTCCAGGTGGCAAGATGGAGCATCTCAGAAGAGAGTAACTAAGAGTCAATGGCAGAAATGCTCTTAGCAGTGATTAAGGGAGAATGTAGAAACCAAAGAGAATCTCTCCCTGGGGCAGGGATAAAAAGTGCCCTGTGCACCTGTCCCAGCACTTTCAATCATAGCGCACAAACTGGGAGTTCTATAGACATAGTCTGCACTTAGTTTCTGTGTAAGACTGAAGATACCCTCAAGGGATGGGGTTTTAACCAAAGACTCTGTACTGCACATTTTGCCCTAACAGGGAATTCTGTGCCTGCTCAATTAAAAGTGCATTCAATTAAGTTGTCTTGATGTAATTTGGCAAAAGTTCTACATTTTTTATCATGGTGAAATGAATGTGAATAGGAGTTATTTCCATGGAAGAGTAGCTGAGAGGAAAGGAATTTTGTTTTCTACACATAACTTTTAGAATCTTTGTGTTGAATCACTTGAGGAAATCTATGCACTGACATTGAATGACTTATCAGGTAAGAGGAAATATTAGTAAGTTTTTCATACCAAATAGCACTTTATCTGATGGCTTCTGGCTTTTCTTTGTCCTAGAATGTGGCATAATCTCTGAGGTCTCCTGTGCGTGCACACACACACACACACACACACACACACACACAAACACATACATACACACACACAAAGCCCAGTGTTGTGGATCATAACGTCAAGGGACAGATTAATCACAGTAAGACCTGGCAATTTTTAAACACTCCAGTCATTTTACATACATTATGTGTATTTGATCGTTGCTTAGAATATGGGGTTCATCATACCCATTTCACTGATGAAAAGCCTGAAGCTCACTGAGTATGATCATGGGCTGAATTTTAAGTATCTGATAAATGATAAGGCTACAAAAAGACCCTTGTTCTGAATTAATATAAATGCTGTGCTATTCCATGCCTCCAATCTGAAGCTGACTTTTTTCATCACACTGCTCCTAAATGTATCTCATATGATCAAAAGGACTCCATCCTTAATGTACTGGTTTGGAATATATGAGCAGAGTAATAAAATATAAAGATGATGGAGAGCTGTGAATTAAGGAAGAAAAAGACAATATTTTGTGACAACATGATTATCCTTCTGTTCAAGGTAAGATAATTTCACAACATCCTGCTCTTATGTTCTCTCATTATGGATAGGCTCTTTCTTTTACAAAAGTTAAATATTTTTATAACAGAAATGCATAAAGCTAAATTTGGCTGGTAAATAAAAGGCATAGAGCAATGTGTCTTTTTCTCTAAAGTTACATGTGTCCTGGGGGTTCCTGATTTGTGTTACAGTTTCCACATAATATATCACTCCTGGAACAGGGAAGAGTTTTCTTCAAGCCTTGTCACAGAAAAACTGATAAGACTTTTCAAGAATGTGAAGTTTTGAAGCACATCTTTAACCAAGGAGCAAGAGGACCCATATAAAAAGACTCCTCCATATAGGGGTGTAGCATGTCATGTAGAGTTATAAACTTGAGAGTCTGCTCCTTTCTTCTTTAACCTTCTCAGGATCTTCTATTTCTCACAGTAAGGGTATTGACTTCACTAATAGAGTTGGTTCTCAGTCTCTGACACATATTAAGTTGAGGACCCTAAGTGAAGAAGGAGCCAGCCAGCCACACCACAGTGGCTCAGACACTCCTGGCTCTCCTGCCAACCCACAGAGTACCTAAACTGCCTTGGCAGAGAGTGGCTGAATCTCATCTCAGTCTTGGAGTTCTCCAAAAAGTGACGACTTTGGTCTGATGTCTGCAGAGTTGGGACTTGCCTTAGCTTTCTTGTCTCTGAGACACAGTAACCATCACCCACAAATTGAAAAGTGATTTAGTTTGGCTCCTGTTTTCAGCCCATGATTCAATGGCTCCAAGACCAGATACAGTATGATGGAGAAGCATAGTAGCAGAAAAGCTGCACATTTCATGGCAGATAGAAAGAAGAGAAAAGCTAGGAGCCAGGAAAAGAGATATATCTTTCCAAGTCATATCCTCAGCAACCTTTCTCCTTAGACATGACCCTACCTCCGAACACCAAGTCAGATATAGCACCCTCATGATTCAATCACCTTCCAAAAGCCCTGCCTCTGAGCACATAAGAGTTTGGGGGCTCAGTCTTGATCTAAACCATAGTGGAACATAGATGGATAAATTGCAAGGTGGGCCAGGAATACAGTGAATATTCTGAGGAGTGTTGAACTATCAATCATTTATCAGTGGAGATTCCACAAATCATCACTATTGTCAGATATGAGAGTTTCAGTCATAAGTGTGACATAGACGAGGATTAGAGAAGTAAGGACTTGGTCCGAAGGGGTAGCCCAAGCTCCCTAGGGAAGGAAGTTAAGCTCTCTGAATAAGTGTATGTTTCTGAGTTAGGGCCATCAGTGGGCCAGTCCATCTCATGACATCAATCTGTCTGCCATAGCTGTCATGTATGGGAGACCATGAACTATTGTGGCCAGAGAAGATCACCTTCATTTATTGTTATTATGTGCCACTTAAGTGCAGGCCTTTTATGAGATGAGATCCCCGTATCAAGTAAGAAGGGAGGTCCAGAACCTGCTAGGATTCCACTCAAGGAAACTGAATGAAGACTGAGAGTCAACCCAACTCTGAATAGAACCAAAAGCAATCTGGCCATTTCAACTTGACCTATAAATTCAAGTTCAAGGAGAGAGATTGAGTTGTTCCCATCACATTTTTAAAACTGCCTAAGTGCACAGCAAATCTAAGCAGAAAGTACAGAGAATTACTCTATGTACCCTGTGTCCCCACACATGCATAACCTTTCTCACATCAACATCAGCACCTGAGTGGTACATTAAGTACAAATAATGAAACTGCATGTTATTATGATTTGTAGTTTATATTAGTATTCATACTTTGAGTTGCACACTGAGCATAAACAAGTGCATAATAACATATGTTCACCATTGTAGAATCATACAAAATTGTTTTGTTGCCCTATGAATCTGCTGTGCCTACTATTTGCCTGCATCTACATTTCTTCCATGCCTTTTTATAGTTTGAAAGCTCATTTCCTTTTATTGCTAAATACTAGTCCATTGTCTGGATGTACCGTAACATCTTGGCTACTAGCGAGTTTGGTCAATTATGAATAAAGATGCTATAAACATTTGTATGCAGGTTTATATGTAGTCATAAGTTTTCACCTCATTTGGGTAAATAACAAGGAAAGGAATTGCTGGATGACAAGATCAAAGTATGCATAGTTTTATAAGAAAGTTTCACATCATCTTCTAAAGCAGCTATACTATTTGTGTCCCAACCAGCAATCAATGATTGTTATTGTTGCACAACATCCATGTGCTGCATCACTTGCCACCTACATTGCTTGCATCATTTTCTGAATCCACTAATACCTGCTTTCCTTGTCCATACTCGTCATACCTCTGGATGCAGCAGAAGAATAAACTCCATGCTGTCAGAATTGCAGGCCAAAGGTGAGACCCATTGTCTTGTGAGTGCTCAATATTCTTCAGGAGAAAGATCCTCCTCTTCCTACTCTCCTGTTATAGGGGATGCTCCCAGAACAAACCTGTTTCTGACATCCTCCAGGAGCCTCTGAAACCCCACCCACTACCTGCATTTTCTCTTGTCAGGCTTTTAGACTTTGGTTATTTGAATAGCTGTATAGCGGTAGCATATTCTTTTAATTTGAAATTCCCTAATGACATATGAGGTTAAGCAACTTCTCATATGTTTACTTGCCATTTTTATATCCTTCTTGTGAGGTGTCTGTTCAGTTCTCTACCATTTTTTTGACTGAGTTGTTCATTTCTTAACAGTAAGACTTTAATGTAGAATAATAGCATTTTATACATTATGTCTTTTGAAAGCATTTCCTCCCACTCTGTAGGTTACCTTTTATTCTCTTGATGATGTATTCACCAAAGGAAAAGTTTTAAATTAGTGAAGTCAGACTTGTGAATTGTTAATTTATGGATTCCTATCATATCTTCCATCAGGTCTAGAGAAAGTGAGGTGACTCACATGAGGGTATAGTCACTAAGAGAGAGAGGTGACTACC